TCTTTTTCAAATCTTCTTAATATATCTTTCATACTTATAAGGGTACTATTATTTTGTGTTCTTTCTTCTTTATCTAGTATATCTTTTATCTTGAGTAATATCATTTCAGCTAATATATATTTTTAGTTCTCTAACTTTAAACAAAGTTTCAATTTGATTTTTTAATTTTGTAAAGTATTTTATTAGTTCTTTAACCTTAATATCGTTAGTTCTAAATGATTATTTAGTGTCAATTATTGCTATCTTGAAAAAAGTAAACTTAATATGTCAACATTTAAAAATTTTTTGTCAATATTTGAAAATTCAGTGTAAAATTTTTTAGAATAACACTAATAGTGCTAGGGTTAAATGACAAAAAAGACACTTTATAAAGTTAAGGGACTAAAATGAAAAGTTGTGTGAAGTTAAAGGATTAAATATATACTTTAGCCTATTATTTCTTAATATCTTCATATTGTATTTTTTCTATAATATTTACAAGGAATTTTAAATTTTCTTTATCTATAGTGTTTACGTCTTTTTTTATTACACGATTTTCACAATTACATATTCTTCACCTATGTATTCTTCTTCTATTGTTGATTTTGAGATTTCACTATTTATATCCTCTTGTATGTGAAAAACTTGTTCTAATTCTTCTTCTTCATAAGGCTGTTTTTTTTTGGGTGTTAGAATCACAATCTATCATCACTCCTAATAGGTTTTTTTTTCCCCCCACTTTTATGTAATCTTCTAATTTTCTTTTTTATTTACATTTATAGCATAGTGGCCAAATCTTCCACATTTATAGTAGACCATTTCTTCTTTTATCTTCTTTTAACTTTCTTATCACTTGTGTTTGGCTTTTTTTTTTTTTTTTCTTATGACTTGCTTTTCTTCTTTTATCTTCTTTTGACTTTCTTGCCACTGTCGACCATATTTTTCTTTTTTTTTCTTTTGTCACTTCATTTCTTTTTCTTTTCATCATTTACTATTTTTGATTTTAGTTACAATTTTGTTGATTCTCTTTTTCTATATTTCATCTTAAACTCAATTGCCAATAGATTTTGGGATAATTAATTATCTTAAATGGGACTTGTATGTAAAACTCACATTCAAAAGACTAATTATGATAAGAACTGCTGTAGCATTCTTATTCTTCGGGGCATTAAACTTAAGTACACTTCTTTGTTGGGAAACATTATGGTTATTAGTATTACATTTTAATTAGAGAATATGATAAGGATATGCAAGTCTTTTTCTGTTTTAAATGGTTTTTTTTTTGCCAACAGTGTTTTAAATGGTATTAACACAAAGATTTATGTGTAGTATTAATTATTATATCTTGAAACTAGGACCTCCTGTTCCTCTGTTTACGTTCATTTTCTTGAAAGAAGAAAACTTCTTTTCTCCCTTTCTTTGGAGTCTAAGCATATACTTGAGGATTTCTGTTTGGATATGCTACGAGAATTTTGTCAAATTAATCAATATTTTACACATAAGTCTCAGCTTGCTTGTGAAAAGCATAGGGTTTTTCTGTAAATGTTTTCCGTGAGTAACGTAATATGAAGGAAGAATCTCATATAGGACCCTCAAAAACAATTTATTCGCATGAAGGGCCCAAAAGAATATGGAATTCCTCTGTAAGCCAAAGTGTACTTTATATTATTAAATTTTCCATTGAAATGTCATAAATGTCCTTTTTTTTTAAAAAAAAAAAGAAAGGGTCATCATCCTAGGCCATTGGTGCCACCATGTTGACCACTAAAGCTCCGTTGCCAGAAAAGAGGCCACCAATGTTGGCAATCAAATCCGATCAAAAGGGGCCAAGGGATCAAGGGAGGATTTGAGCTCTTGAACTCTTTGTGTTGCAAGAAATAGTTCATCATTGAACAACTAAAGTCATCCAATAATATACTATAAAATATAATATATATGTCATATCTTTTGTTATCAAGCATTGATATTAGTTGCTGTTAATTATAGATATATTGTTATTTATATCCGAACAATTGTTTGTGTGTGTGTGTGTATATATATATATATATATATGAACATGACTTGTTCATACATAAAAAAGTTATCAATTTTTAAAACCAAACTTATTTAATTTTTTTTTTAACTTGTTCCTTCAATATTGACATGTTATCAATATTATGCTAAATAATACACACACATGTTATAAGTTTATATTTTAAGGATTTTCATGGGCAATGGTTGATGATGGCATATTATTATTTATATTCAAACAATCACTTGTACATATGTGAACATGACTTGTTCATACATAAAAAAATTATCAATTTTAAAAACCTAACTTTTTTAAATTTGTTAACAACTTATTTCTTCAATATTGATAGGTCATCATTATTATGCTAAATAATGTGTGTTATACATTTATTTTTCAAGCATTTTCATGGATTGCGCTATTGATGATGGACATATTGTTGTTCAGATTTAAACAATCGCTTGTACATATGTGAACATGGTTTGTTCATACATAAAAAAGTTGTTGATTTTTTAAACCCAACTTTTTCAATTTTTTAACAATTTATTCCTTCAATATTGATTGGTTATCAATATTATGCTAAATAATACTCCCTCCATTACAAATTATAAGACACTTTTAGAAAAGGTTTAGTGTTCCAAAATATAAGACACTTTAATAAAAATAAGGTTTCATTAATGATACATTTTCAATATTATTCTTCCCATATATTCTCTCTCTTCAATATTTTTTTATCAATGAAGTATTAAATAAAATACATTTTTAAAAGTTTATATTTTGATCTTGAAAAAGTAATTTTGTAAAGTATATTTAATGAGTTTTATTGATATGTGAAATTTTTTCTAAAATGTCTTATAATTTGGAATGGAAGGAGTATATATGTATATGCTATAAATTTATTTTTAAGGCATTTTCATGAGTTTTGATTGATCATGGATATATTATTGTTTATATATGAACAATCACTTGTAAATATGTAAACATGACTTGTTCATAAATTGATAAATTTTTTATGTATGAATTAGTTATGTTCGAGTATCTACAAGTGATTACTGTAACATGAACAACATGTTCATAATTAACCATAACCTATAAAAATGTTTGAAAAATAAATTTATAACACATACATACATACATTATTTAACATAATATTAATAACATGTTAATATTGAAGGAACATGTTAAAAAAATTGAAAAAGTTTAGATTTCTTTAGACCTTTCATGCAGATAAATTGTTTTGGAGGGTCCTATATGAGGGCCTCTCTAATATGAGTGCTCGGTCCAGTTGGAAAAGACTACGGTTGGCATTCCCTAGAGTGAGTATTCAAACCCTGAGGAGTAACAGACGCGATAATTAACATGACCTTAAAAATGTTGTCCTATCGGTACCTCTCTATCTCTGTAATGTCTCCTCACAAAAGATCTGGATTAGTTTGGGAATGGATAATAAACTGAGAATATTCCATTATACTGGATGGTTTATTAAAAAAAAAAAAAAGTTCTTTGGTGTTGTTAGGCCTAGATTTTATGGCTTCTCGTACAGGAGCTCTGGCTGTGGCAAGCTCACCTTCAAGGCTCGCTAGTTTCAATCTCCTTCCACTGTTCTCTTAACCCCATATTGATTATCAATGCTCTCTTCAAAATTTTGCAAAAACACACACCCATATTAATAACTAGTGTTAAACCCTATATGTGTTGTGAGGCGTTGACAAAAGAATTATTAGAATAGAAAAAAAATATGACTGAATAGAAATTACGTTAAAAATCATGTGTGTGTGTGTGTAAAGCAACAAATATTTAACATTAGACTCTACTACAATAAATCATTTCGTTTCAAATAATTACATTTATTGTAAAAAGACATTGAGCATGTTTAGTTTAATCCTCAACTGAGGTTTGAGTTTTGGGTTCTCAAATATTAGTTCGGGTGTTAAATTCTCATTACAAGATTAAAAATCTTGTTTGGGTAAAGAATAATGAAAAAAAGATTTGTGGAAAAAAGCTCATTCAAGCTAAAACCACCTTAATGAGCTTTTAAAGAGAGTTTCTGAGTAAAATTAGGTTAGTATTTTATGCATTTTAAATTTTGTTAGATTCTCTCTTATCCTCTCAATTTATTTTAGATTTCTTAAATTTAATATTTTGTAATTAATCAATTTATTATTTAATATTTTGTCATTTATTAATTAATTCAATATTTTTATAATTTACAAATAATATACTTAACTAATTATATATAGACTCTTTTTAAAATTGTAATTTAAACATCAATTTTTTTTCTCAAGAAGATCAAATTAGAAAAAAATATATTATTCCTAAATTCATGTATTTTTCAGTCATTAAACACCTAAACTTGCTTGAGCATTATCAATCAAATAAGTTTCAATTTTCCATATCAAATTTTTTTAAAAAATATTCAAATATAAATAATGTTAAAATCACTGATAGTTTTTTTTTTTTTCTAACTTCAATTTACAAACCTCAATTTATTTAATTCCAATTTCAGTTTTGCAATTTCTAAACCAAACACACAAGCTAGTCAATGGAAATTACGTTGCAATGCCAATACTTTCTAAATGCCTCATGTTACATTGCTTAATATGCAAGTGTATTTAAAATTGAGAGGTCGGGAGTACAACCCCACCTATAATCTCATACCGTTAAGCCTGCCCCGCCTAATTAAACAAAAAAAAACATGTATTTAAAATTAACGAATGTGATGTGGCGCCGGGCGTGAAATCTTTAGACAGAAACCAATGTTTTTGATTAGGATATGCTTGTCTTTTTATGTTTTAAATGGCATTAACACCAAGATTTAAGTGTAATATGAATTGTTGTATCCCAAAACTAGGACTTCCTATTCCTATGTTTTCTTTCACTTTCTTGAAAAAAGAAAGCTTCAAAAAAAAAAAAAAAAAAAAGAAAGAAAGCTTTTCTTTTCTTGTTTTCCCTTTATTTGAGGTTTAAGCATACACCTGCTTTTAGGATATAATACGAGAATTTAATCAAATTAATCAATATATATATATATATATATATATAAAGTTCAGCGTGCCTGAGAAAAGCATAGGCTTTTCTGTAAATGTTTCCTTGTGGAACATAATATGAATCTTGAAGTTCTTAAGTGTCGTTAGGTTAGGCCAAGAATTTATGGCTTCTCTTATCAGATCTCTAGCTGTGGCAAGCTCACCTTCAAGCCTCTCTAGTTTTCTATCCACTTTCTCTGTTATTTTCACGACATTGATTCTCAATGCTCTCTTTAAGATTCTGCAGAAACACAAACACCCACATTAATAATGGAAATCTAAGAAAGAAAGAAGAAAAGGCTATATAACATGTACATACAGTGTGAAAGGGAGAAGGCAATGGAGAAAGAGGATGATCAAACAAACTCGAAGATTCATCAGAGCTTCCGATACAGCAATCATCTAGATGATCCAAATATTGTGGCAACAGAATTTGATTGGAAACACTGCCCAACATTTTGATTTCCTCCATTAGTCTTTGTAACAGAAAGTATATCTCTTTCCATTGGGGGTGGGAGTGATCTTCAGCATTGAAAGCGTGCACTTCATTTTTCACTTCTATCCAACTCCAACCAGGAACCTTCTTCACTCTCCTTTCTCGCATCAGCTTTGTTATACTAGCCTTTTCATCCCACATCTTAAGACGGCCATACATGTCAGAAAGTATAACATATGTGCAATGATCCTCAGGCTCCAAATCAAACAAACAACTTGCTATCTGACTAGCTAAATCAATATCACCAAAAGTTCTACAAGCACCTAATAAAGTCTTCCAAACCATTGCTTCAGGTTCAAAAGGCATTGTTTCAACCAAAGCTATAGCCTTCTCTAGACACCCCGCTCGGCCATAGAGATCAATTGCACAAGCATAGTGCTCCATTCGTGGTGGAATCCCAAAATCAAACTCCATTGACGCTAGAAATTTGCTTCCTTCTTCAACTAGACCAGTGTGGCTACATGCTGTTAGAACTGCAACAAAGGTTATATGGTCAGGTTTCACCTTTCTGTTTCTCATCATGTTGAAAAGGTCAAGTGCAATATTTCCTTGCCCATGTTGTGCATAACCAAAGATGATAGAATTCCAAACAATCGCGTTATCTTTAGAAGTTGCTTCAAAGGATTTCCCAGCGTCTTCAATGATCCCACATTTGGAGTACATGAAGATCAATGAACTAACAACATATTCATTGGACTCAAACCCTACTTTAATTGTCAGGATGTGAAGCTGTTGACCCAACTGTAGTGTTGCTAAATCCGAGCATGATCTGATGACAGCCGGAAGAGTATACTGGTCAATTTCTACAGCCAGAGATCTCATCTGTACAAATAACTTCAAGGCATCTTCGCTTAGACCAACTTGGGAGTATCCTGTCAAAATGGAGTTCCAAGTAATACAATCTTTGGATTCCATGGAAAGGAAAATTTTTAATGCATCTTCCATGCACCTATTATTTAGTTTCATATACATGTTGATCAAAGCATTAGAAACAGGGACTAAATTTTCAAGTCCCCTTTTTATTACCAAACCATGTAAGGATTTTCCAGGGCTTTTATGCATTTGCGAGGAACAAGCACTAATAATACTAGTGTAAGTATAAATGTCTGGTTCAAACCCAAGAAATTGCATGTCAATGAAGATTTTAAAAGCAAGATCTTCTCTTTCATGCAATAAGTAAGCAGCAAGCATAGAATTCCATGTGACAAGATCTCGAAATCCAACAGCACAATTAAACAATCTTTCAACATCTTGTAGAGAGCCACACTTTGAATACGCTGTGATAGTGGCGTTGTAGACAGTGTTAACCAATTCCAGTCCATGTTTTACAATTTTGCAATGTAACTGCATTGCCAACCCATATAATTCAGAATCATCAAGCAATGTTAAAAGTGGAGATATTGTGCCATCATCAAGACTCACACCGTCTTGTTCCATACATTTAAGTAGCCAAAATGCCATGATATGATCACCAGCTTGGGCATAACAAGCAATGAGTGAATTCCAAGACACATAGTTAGGTTGTGGCATGTACTGAATCATAGTATAAGCATCCTCAAGTCTCCCACACTTAGCGTACATGTTCAAAAGGGCACTACCTGAAAATATGTTCTCTGAAAATCCCGTTTTTAAGATCATTGAATGTATTTGTTGCCCAAGCTCAAACTCTTGGTAACTGGCAATCCCCTTCAACATACTTCCAAATGTATGCCCATCAAATTCAAATCCACATCTTCTCATGGTTTTGAACATTGCCCATGCAATTTCAAGGTCACCCGAGTTAATGTAACCAGTAATCATCGTATTCCATGACACAATGTCTCTGTAGAATGTTTCGTTGAATAGGCTCTGAGCCAGACACAATTCTTTGCCTCTTGTATAGCCATTTATAATATTATTAGTGGTATAAACATCTACAATGGTTCCTAGCTTGATTGCTTGACAATGGGTTGCAGCAACCTGAAGCAAACTAATAACTGAGCTTCGAATGAGTGGGTGCAATCCCTTCATTCATTGGTATTCATGTATAATATCATCACTATTAGATAACTAGGAAATTAGATAATTACACTTTTTCCCTTCCAACAGCCTACAACCCTGCATAACTAAAATAGAAATAAAACCCCTCCATAAGGACTGGATTCCCACTGGGAAAAGCATCCATGGCTGTTGTTCATTATTAGATGCTATGTTTGTTGAAGAATCATCACCTCAAATCATTACTTCAAACGTCAAACCTAACACAAGTTATCATCAGATATTGCAAGGCCCAATTGAAATTCCAGCAAGAAGAAAATATAACAGGATTTTAATCAAGAAACTGACTCCAGCAATAAGAATTCAAGCAAGCATTATCCAAGAATATATAATCAAAAGTAAGCTCAAAAACAAGACCAGATCATGGTAAAAGCATCAGAAACATCAAGAAACTTTATCACCAGTTTGAATACTCAAAATTAAGCCAAAAAGGCAAGGCAAGATCACGCTGAAAACAACAGAGATAGCAACAAGCTTCATGATAAAAATCTATGCTCAAAACTAAGCTAACTAAAAACGTTATATCATTCTAAAATCATCAGAGACAGTGGCAATTTTTATCACTAGAATGAATGATTAAAATTAAGCTAAAAAATGTCATGTTATTTATCTATAACATCATGTTTCTGGCATCTTTCCAAAAGCAATATTCAAATACATTAAAGAAATTATCAGTTTGACAGAGTTCAAATAAGACAAGATCATCAAAAGTAAATGCAGTGACAGAAGACCTATATATAATCCATTAGTGCGTCTCAAGAGAAGTCAACCAGAATGGAATTAATAATGAACGATTATTAAAATAAGAGAACAAAAAGTTAACCATCTATCCCTGCAAAAGCAGTGAACAAAACTACACTAATTTACCGATTTATGAACTTAGAGCATAGCTAGTAGGAACAAAAATTCCTAAACAATGCTTAAAAAAAATAGAGGAAATACAAAGTTCTGTACTGCCTCAGGTTTGCCAATAAGCATGGAAACAGTGGAGGTGGCTTCAGAGAGAATGGAAGTGGTATCGACACTGTTAAGACTGGTAAAACAAATGGACAGGTAAAACAAATGGAAACTGAGGCCCTTTAACAATGTTTCATGGGCCACTGTCAAGTCTAAATTTCAAATTTCACTATACAACTGTCTTGATGCATCTTTGGATGAAAATTAACGCGGTCAAATCGAAGACATCTCAGAATTTGAAACGAGACTTACCTTATATGATATACTCTTCATCCAGAACCGAGATAACGCTCTTTCATAAGCATCTTTGGGGAATGGGGATTGTGCGGCCAGACTTCTTCGATATATTCAAGGAGGACGGAGGACTCACAAATGGCTTTTTCACCATACAAAATCACAGGTACTTTCTTGTGCACTGGATTGGACTTCAAAAGCAGTTCATTCTTGCTTGAAAGGTCTTCTTCAATGTATTCATACTTCACCCCTTTCAGCTTCAAACCTCATATTGCCTTGTAAGCAAACGGACTTGCCCAAAATCCCAGTAACTTCACTCCATCCATGCCTCATAGGAGAAGAAGAAAGCCAGAAAGGTCTTGGGCTGTGGGCAGGTTATATATATGTACATGTATAGTAGAAGAATCATAATTATTTACAAATATATAATTGGTGAAGAAGTTGGAGTGAATTAAGAGCTGGTATGAGTCATTTCTTTCAAGTTAGAATTTTCAAAAACGTGGAATGCCCTCAATCATTGAAAACAATAGGGAACGAAAAAATCAATGGAACTAGTCATTTTCTTACTTGACTTGTTCATGAGAGATGCCCATCAAGACTTGCTTAAGTCTTGGGATTTCACTCACTGAGATCCGTACAGAGAAGGAATCCCAGTTCAGAACATCACTGAATGGACCGAACATACTGCTGTGAGAATATGATAGCCACACACTCTGCACAAATAGCCTCAACAATCCTTGGGCTTGCCACTTCAAACCCACTGGGGCAAAGGCAAATGCTTGCTCTTCTTCACTGCCTCTTCATATGAAAATCCTTCTAGAAGCACTAGCTCAAATACTAATTTTCAGGACAATTAAATTTACATTTTCATAACACCATATGGGGTGTAGTAGGGAAAATTGTAGTAGTAATGATTAATTTTCACAACAATTGATAAAAGACTTGTCGCCATAATAGGTGAATTATGGCTGCAATCCCATTGCACAACTGTCTCCAGGGAGACAGTTCTATTGCACAACTGTCACGATAATTGAGTTTTTTTCAAAAAAAAAAAAAACAATATTAACCCTTGATTTTGGATATCCTAATACAAAATGCACTTAAAATTTGTACAAGATTAAGTGAAGTGAAATTTATACAATATTAAGTTGAAATTTATAAGATATTAAGTGAAGAGGTTAGATGTCCCCAAAAAAATTGTTCGTCACAATCCTTAATCCACTGTTGTATTGGGGTCAGGCTCAACCATTTTGAATCATAATACACAAATTCAAAGTCTGCCTCATTAACAACAGTTTGCTCTTTAAACGTGGTTTAATTTTGTTGATAAGAAGGTTAGAGTTGGCAAGTGACCAAAATCAGCATAAATTGACTAAAGAAATAGAAATAACCATCCCCACCTTTTGTATACAAAGAACATAGACACACAAACACAAAAGATCCACCTTCAAATAAATAACGAGTAAAATATGACACGCATTAAGGCCATGTCTATTTCATGGAAAATAACTAGCTAATAGATTTTAAAATAGTATGGAATTGGCTTATGTGAATGAATTGAGCTGATATCTATAATTCAGCATATAAACAGCATAATTATGGGCTTCCAGGACTTTGAGTGCATCTATGTTGGACCAAGTCAGAAGGTAGAACAGGTTGAGAAAAGAGAGTTATGATACTAAGACTCAATTTAAGAGCTTTTTACTATCTTTCATGAATTCTTTATTATCTTGCGGCCTCTTTTATCAAATTCATAAAGATGGGTGCAAAACTCTGCCTCCTATATCAGCTAATATACCATGCATTCCTCATGTAGTACAAATAAGGAGGACAATTGCATAAGTAAAATTTCTAGGGGAAAAGATGCAGGATCAAACAAGAAAACCCAGTGAATATCGCCTAGGTACTGTCATATATACTATAATGCTTTTCAATTAACGGTTTGAGGTTCATTAAGGTTTTGCACCGAACACAGGTTAATTTCATTTCAATTAATTCATTTTTTTTTTAAATTTTGTAGTTATCCTCACTGAAATGATAAATTTTCAGTTGCAAATTCAGTGGCAGTAATTACATTGCAGAATATGAAATTCGATGAACAGATCAAGGAAGAGAAAAAATCACATAGCAGTATCAGTATAGGAAAAAAATTGTTAAGCATGCTATTCTTAAGTTGAACTTTAAGCAGGCAAACAAGTTCATAAGATTACATATAAGAGAATGAGAAACGGGGAAAAATTCCAAAATTTGACTCAAGTGCAAGTAAAATGGAAGGCCTCACAATAGTTCCAATTTACATCAATCTAAATCCTATCACTAGTAAGCAGATATATCCAGAACATCTATTAATAACAATCGAAGTATAAAAGTATACTGCTCAGAATCTGACAAAAGTATAAAAGCAGAGAAATGAGAGAAACTTGGGAATCCAAGCATTCATGATCAAGCGACCGAGAACGAATAAATATAAGTCTGCACTGAACTTGTTACGATTAAATTCATTAATATTCAAGCTGTTGCTTCCTCGTTATGTAAGCAAAACCACACTAACCCACAAGGCAAAGGAAAAGGAAATACAGAATAAATTTTGTCAGTCATTCTTACTTTTTGTTTCTTCAATAACCAACATCATATAAATAAAATCTGCTTAGATTTATCGAATTTAAGCAAGGATGATCTAATACGAATGAAAGTAGACTGAATGCAAAACATGTAACAGGTCGAAAAAGAAAATAACAAGAGCCCCAAAAAATCGACACCTCGCGGAGAATAGAAAAGATAGATTGAAGCAGAAAGAAGGTTAAGCTTGTACCTTGGAAAATTTATTCATCGGAGAAGAGCTCTCTTTGGATCTTCGACACCAATGACCTACAAATCCTTTTTGGCTAATCAAGTGCGACCTTTACATCTGATTGTTGGTGTCTGGTGTGGAGGAGAGGGAAAGAGACGCTGCGAGACAGCGACAGTGGATCCTACTCGGAAGAGGCGACAGTGCACGAGCTTGCAGAGAGGAACTGGCATTGCGAGCTAGGGCATGACCTTCGACGAAACGATGACCTGAACGAGTGGCGCAGCCGAAGGGAGCAGCAACGACAAGAAGCTTCAGAGTTCAGTGGGCAGAGGAGAGGCACACGCTACACAGTCTCAGTAAGCAGCGAGGACGAGAGACGAGTAGCGAGGGAGGGAGATAAAGAGGGTGTGTTGTAACTGTTTTTGTTTCATTACTCTTAGAATTAATATTCTTTTAAACATGTTTTAAAAATAAAAAAATTAAAAGACTTGCTTGAATAATTATTTTAAAAAATTGTATAAAAACAAAAAATATAAAAAACTTGCTTGATAAATTATTCTCTGAATATGTTTTGAAAATAAAAAAATTATTTGATAACTTTTTTTACATAATGAATATTAGCATAATGTTTTATATTTATTTAATATTATTTTACAATTATGAATTAATTTAATAATAAAATTTGAATAGAATCACAAAAAAAAACTTAAATAAAATTGAAATATATAAAAGTTTCAAAAACAAAATCAACCCTCAAATTAACATTGTTCCAAGCAAAGTCTCCAAAATATTGATTTAAAAAAACACAAGGCTAAATTTAATTAGGACAAGTGCTAAATTCATGCCACATCTAAGATGCAATATGATCATATTGTGTTGCTATCTCTACTATACTTTCTTCAAATTCTTGATCTTGATAAGTTCTCTGCATTATTGTAACATCCTGATTTTCTAATTTTGAAATTAATTGCTAATTGAGGGTAAATTAATAATTAGTGAGTGATTAGAATTTTGGGATGACAATTTGATGTTTTAACTTTTTGGAATGTTGAATGAGTAGATTCAAGCGAAAGGATTGCATTTCAGAGTGAAGCATGTAAGCGTGTTGCAGATTTCTCTTACTATGTCATACGCTGTGACGCATAGTACAAAAAAATGGCTGATAAGTATGTGGAAGCTCGTGAATTTCAAAGGCAAAAGGAAAAAAAATGGCTGATAAGTACGTGGAAGCTCATGAGTTTTAGAGGCAAAAGGAAAAGAAACATGAGGAAGAGAGGAGAAGAGGTCAAGGGTCAGCTAAGGCAAGGATTCTTGGAAGCTTGGGAGACGTTTCCAACTAGTAACTTGCCAAATAAGTTTTGTATTGCCTTTATCTCTGATTCTACATTAATTTCTCTTAGTATAAGTTATAGAGAAATTGAATCGAGAAGTTTTAAGGGATTTGTTTCTCACCTATTGGTAATGAAAGGATTCAATCGAATTAAGATTTTGAGACTAGTTTAGGGATAAATGCTAAAGTTTTGAGACTGTAAGCTTAGATTGACTCTAAACTATAAGAAAGTGGAAGTGAAATTGTGAAAGAGGTGTGATAGAATTGATAGAACTAATAGGAAGGGGTGATTGGGTTGTAATAAACCTAAATGGACCAAGTGGAAGGAAAAGAATAGTTAAATGTGATTTTAAGTGATAATTAGTATTTGTAGTTAGTTTGGTTAATTGACTAATAGTGCTAATGGTGCGTAGATTGTCATGTTGCGAATGTGCTTTGAGGAAAGGAAATGTGTGGGAGCATTAATTGTTGAGAAGTCCATGGGTAACCCTTTCTTCTAACAGAAGGGTTGAGGTAATTAAATAATTTACTCTATTTCAATTATTTATTATGATTGTTTATGAATATTATAACTATTGCATGAAATTGCTTTATGTAACATCCTTAAATTTTAAACCAGATTAATTAAGGTTGAGTCAGATTAATTGAGTTTATTATAGAGGTGTGTGGCTAGAGAGGCCTAACGAGCATGTTTGATTTTTTTTTAGCCCTAAATACAGATTTGAAGGAAGTCAGGTCACTCGGGAATGAAAAGAGGGAGAAAATCTGAAGGGGAAGGCTCTGTGCCACGTGTCGCAACTTATGGATTAGGCTACCATGGCACATGTACATTGACATGTCTAGGGAGATGCTCTCTATGCCATGCACCATGGTGCATTGTGCTTTGGCCATAACACATCGACACTTTTTTTACAGAATAAGATCTCAAAATTATGCAGAAGAAGAGAGAAAACAAAAGATAAATGAAGGAGAGATGAAAATGTGTTGCTAGGGCTTAAGGAATCTGAATACTAGGAGTATTTTAGATCTCATAAACATTAAAGGTAAACTTTATACACCTAAATCTACCTTCCTCATCCATTTTCTTAATGTTAGGAGTTAGGGTTTGGTTGTGAATGATGATTTTTGATCCATATAGGCTATGGGTTTGAACCTATTAACTTAAATAGAGTTAATGAGAGTAGATTGAGTTAATGAAACCTAGTACTTATGGTTATATGAGGATTGGTAGTTGGGAAGCATTTAATATGAGAAATTTCCGTATAAATAAGTTAGTTGGGGACAATATGGCTCTATTAATGACCATTGAAGAGCTTAATGATGTTAATATGGGGCAAAGAAAGCTAAGAAACTTATGGGTATTTTTATATGAGTAGAGAATGAACTTTGAGTGTGAAGTAGTGGTGAGTTAGTAATGAAAATTATCTAAAACTTGGATATTGATAAATTATATCATAATTATTTATAGAGTAATCACTTTGGCACCATTCAAGCTTTTTGGAAGCTTTGGAAGTAAGTATTTAAGGGGTGAAACCTTTGACCTCTCAAACGTTTGAGGTAATCGGAGGAATTCTATCTTATACTTTTATGTGTTAATTAGTTTATTGATTGATAATTGATCATTGAAATGTATGAAATAACATGAAGGTATGAATTGTTTGAGAATCCACTGTGTTGATTTTTGTAAGTCCAATGACTTGTCATATAAAATTCTTGAAACCTTATCAGTAGATTTTTGCATTGTAATTTATTAGGAGTTTAACGATATGTGTGTTGATGGGGAGTTTAATGATTAATTGATATGGGAGTTCAATGACTTTGTGTTTGGTGGAGTACAATGATTATGTGTCAACGAAGTTCCATGAGTATGTGTTTATTAAGAGTTCAATGATTTTCAATTGTGGAGTTCAATGAGATTGGTAACATGGAGTTCAACGATTTAATTATTTATATTATGTGATTATCATGTATATGGTGGGGTATAAGGTGATGCATGCTTGATCATTGAGTAAATTCATGCTTTAAATTGTGTATATCTATGCATTGCATGATCTTGAGAGGTAGGAGTTTGCTTGAGAAGATGAGTAAAAAGTTAAATCCACGTGGTACGGCTTCCATCAGAGCTTGATGCTAAGCTAGGATCCATTTTGTATTTTATCCCAATTGTTCAATGAGGGACTATCCTACTAGTTCAACGAGGGACTCGAACCTAGTTAGTTATCCACTTGTTCAATAAGGAAACTAGGTTAGGGAGTATGACACCACATAGTGTTAGAAAAATGAGAGAAACTGTGATCCAGAAGTGAGTTAGGAAAACCTTGGCTGGGTAACCTCTCACACATGTTTAGGCTAGGGAAGTCTCAAAGTATAAACTATCCCAATGTGTTATAGCCCAAGGTTGTATGTCAGAGAAATAAAGAGGATATAAAGGAGGTATGATCATGCATATAGTGAAAAGGGCACATAGTTGATATATTGTGGCCCTAGGAAAATAAAATGTGTGAAAGCCTTGTTTCTTATGAATTGGCATTAATTTATTTTGAATCATGTGAGTACGTATTATTTGAATGAAAAGGTGGATCTAAGTTCTTGAAAATGTGCCACATGACTCTATATTAATTTTTAACTCATGTGGTTATCGTTTTAAGAACAAAAAGGTTGAGCCATACCTTTAAAAATGTCCATGTTTTAAAATTTCTTATTAAGTTGCCACTGGCATTTTAAATTAATTAACATGCATTATTATGAGTTAGTTGAACCTTAGTTACTGAGTGATTGTATTCACCCTATTATCTTCAATATTACAGGAAATCGCTTAAGAGGATCTAATAGAGGAAAACAACCAAAGGCATAGGACTGCAATCCTATTCGTAGGCCTCTTTTATTTTGAGTATTCATGTGTATATGATGATTAAACTTTCCAACTAGCATTGGTCCATTTTGAATCTTACTTGCATTATGTGTTTTGTGAGTTGTGAGTATATTTTAGGCCATAGGGAGTGTGTTTAGGAAATGTGGCATCTATAATAGGGTTAAAATACTAATAAAAGTAAGAGTTAGGCATAATAAGTGATGCTTATGGATTATTTGATGAAACAGGTGATTTGAACTCTCCTTTTTGTTTTTGAGAATTAAGGGGTTGAGTGTTAAAAATGTGAATTATGAGACTTATATTTGTGGTGGTGCATTGCATAGGTGCAATTTAAGTTATTATATTTGGTTTGTACGGTATCAATAGCTTTTGGCTTAAGATTTGGACACTTTGTTTTGTGTAAAGTGATGTAAAAGTACAAGTTTTGAAAAGAATGTCCAAATTTTAGATGAGTAATAATTTGGTTGTGAAACTAAAGCCTTAACTAGAGCTTGGAAAGATCTTTTTGTATACACCTAGTTTGTCAATCAGACATCGGACAAAGGAATGGGGCGTTTCGGAAGTTGCCCCAAAAACTGTCAAATAAATAGCATAATTCTACTGTCATGGCATGTGCAATGCATCGCTGTGCATTGTGCCACAAGTCATGGAGCATGGCAGAAAGGTGAACAAGCCACGACACAGAATTGAATTGTTTTATGATTTTTAAGCAAATGCATTGATTCTTATGTGATTCCATGCTTTTACATAGTTAATAACTTTGAATTGTTAGCTGTAAAGTCTTTTGAAATGGCTTTAATTTTGAAAATT